AGTCTTGAATGCATCTCGTCACTAATGAAGTGGTGGAATATGTTATGAAATCCAAGGAGAAAAAAATTAGCTATAAAATTTGATTTTGAAAATGTTTACTTTTTTGAGATAAAAAGAATGTATATTAAGTATAAGACATTAAGTAGGTGTCATCCCTGTATAAAGTATTTATATATCTGTTAAAGCGCCAAAAACTTTCCCAAAATCATCCCACCCATATAAATCATGCTCCAAAATAAGAGCCCCAAAAGTAGTATCCACTTATCTCTAATTCTGCTCAGATCTCCCACATACCCTTCAAATGTTTTGTTGTTTCTCTCTTTTCATATCATCCAAAAAATAATTAAGGGAATGAGCTTTACAATTTTTGAATTTTTACAAAACCCATTTCGAGCCCAAAGTTCATCCTTCACATTATCCCTAATCGCCTAATTTATACGCAGTAAACTGTAAATCAGATTCCAAATATTATAAGTCACTGAATACCAGAGAAGGAGATGGTTGCATGATTCTGCCACCTCCTTAAACAAATAAAAACCATTAACCATAATGTGGTCCCTTCTTATCAACTTGTCTATAGTAAGAGTATATTCCTGACCTATTTCCCAAGTGAAACAAGCGATTCTCAGAAGCACCTTCATTTTCCATATCTGTAAAGCCGAAAATCTCACATCGTCCCCATTTTTATTGGTCAAATGCTCATAAAAGGATTTGACAGTAAACGTACCATATTTCTTCAATTTCCACACTGCCCTATCCTTGGTAACTTCTAAATGCATATTGGCCAGTAATTGAAGTAGCATTGTAAACCCATCAACCTCCCAATCATCAAGGTTTCTAGCCAAATTCGTGTTCCAACCTCTCCTCCCATCCACCCATTTGAAAATCTCCTCCACCGCCACATTTTTTCTTAGAGCTGAAGTATAAATTCTTGGGAATTGGTCCCTAAGTTTACCCCTCATTCCACTCATCCTCCCAAAAGTGAATGATATTACTCCTCCCAAGCTTCCATTGAATGTAATCAAGAAACTGAGGACGCCCCAAACCAATCTTCCTCCATAGCCCCAGACCATGAGGCCTTGCCATCTCCCTACTACTCCCTCTGCTAACTAACATCCCCCACCTTGCCGCAATGACCCGACACCACAACCTCCTCTCCTTCGATAAGTATCTCCACAACCACTTCCCCTTTAATGCCCTATTCAAATCCACCATAGACTAGAGACCCAGACCTCCCCTGCTAACCGGTTTCTTCACTTCCTCCCATTAACTAGATAATATTTTATGCTCCTCTCGTCATCCCCCCTCAAAAAACAATATTGAATATTCTCCAATTTCTTAACAATTTTTATAGGAATAGCCAATACTGATAAAAAATAAATAGGAAGATTGATGAGAATATTTTTGATAAGAGTTAATCTTCACCCTTTTGATAGAAGGTTCATTCTCCACCCTGCAAGTCTCCTCTCAAACAATTCAATTATTGGATCCCAAGTTCTCACATCTTTATATTTATCCATACAAAAGAATGCATATAGATTCAAGATAATATTCTCGTCAGGTTGACAGAAAATCAAGGTATCATCAACAAAAAATAAATATGAGACCTCGACTTGAGACCCACCTCTACCCACCACAATTCCCTTCAACAATTCCTCATCTCTAGTTTTGTCGAGTAGTCTGTTCAAAGCTTCAATAACAATGATGAATAAGAGTGAAAATAAAAATCCCCTTATCTCAAATCTCTGCAAACTTTGAAGAAATAAGGACCACCATTGACTATCACCACGAACAAAGTAGTAGTAACACAAGCCTTCATCCATCTCCTCCATATCCACCTAAATCCCAATCTGTCCAACATATAATCAACCAATTCCCAACTAACATGGTCATACGCCTTTTCCAATCCAATTTACATAGAAGGACATCCTTTCCTTTACCCACCATCTCATCTACTACTTCATTAGCCACCAAAATTGCATTAAGAATCCACCTTCCCTCCACAAAAGCATGCTGACACTCATCAATCACCCCCCTAACACTGGAGACAACCTTCTAGCAAGTACTTTCGACATGAGCTTGTAAATGCATCCCACTAAACTGATAGTTCTGAAATTTTTAATATTTTTGCTCCTTCCACCTTAGCTGTTAACACAATGAATGTAGAGTTGAGACATTCCACAAATGTGATTATAATTTTTGAAGATTTTAAAAAAGTTTATGATAGAGTAAATTAGAATTTTTTTGAAGACACTGATGTTAGGGAAAGGGTTTTGGGATAGACAACAGAGACAATGGGTTTATGGGTGCTTATCATTTGTATTTTTGTAGTAATTAATTGTGATACAATCTTAGTTCCCCTTTCTTTCTTCTCTTTATGTTGGTGGTTGATGTATTAAGTCGGATGTTGATGCAATGATCGAAGAGAGGTTTCGTCAAGAGACTTGTTGTTGGAGAGGGCAGAGTGGAAGTATCTCACCTCCAGTTTGTGGATGATATACTATATTATTACTATCATACAATGAGAGGTTAATTAAGAATGCGTTCACTATTGTTCAAAATATTTAGATTATTTTGGGCTCTCAAATAAAACTGTTTAATAGTGATCTAGTGGGGTTAATATGGAGGACAATATTGTCTAGTGATTTGGCAGAGGATATTGGGTGTGTTGTAAAAGAGGGTCAATGTTGTTCCTGGCAGCTTGAAAATTGTGTCAATCTTTAGGATGCTTAATCCAGGAAGATGGCATTCACTTAAACTTGATTTCCCCTCATGGCCCCATTCTCCCCTTTAGTTTTTATTTTACCAAAAATAACCTAGCAATTAGAAAACCACTAACCAAGATTCTCATCTGCCTCCCAATCCAAATCCCTTTCACCCACCTCGAGAAAGATGGCATGCTTCTGAAGCTTTTAAGCCAGATGATTGCTCAACCCTGTAGCAACAATAAAGCAGCACTTCTTTAAAACATGATCCAAGTTTCGAGGACCATTTCAGAAAAAGGGCATTTGCAATCCATGCACTATACCCTTCTTGATTATGTGATCTCTCGTTGGAGCAACATTAATTATTATCCCCAGTCAAAACTGTTAATTTTTCTGGCACATTCAACTTCATAATCTGTTTTGGTTAGACATAAAAGAAGTCTCCTTAGGTGAAGAAGGAAGTTGGTTGGGAACATCCCCTATCCCCTTCAGGAGTAGCTAATTTCTGCTCTTCACTGAATAAAGCCCATTCCTGTTATAATGCTGAATTCCGACTTCTTCATCCCTTCCTCACAGAAATTGGCATTGTGAAAATTATTCCTTGAATCATATCCTTCAAACATCGCCCTGATCCTTCCATATTTCAATTTTTGTTTTTCTATCACCAATTAAAGCAACCACCTTTTCCTCATTATTAAAATGTTGAGGAATACTAAAAAATATTTCTTCCTTCTTTTCCAAGGATTTTGCCAGATTCTAATCTTCACATCTACCAATTTTCTAATTCCACCAAGAACATCTCTACCTTCCATCAAAATACTCTAAACCATAGATGGGCGTTTCTTTGCTTCTGCATCTGAGAAGTCCTCATCAGGAAAGTATTTCCATCTAAAAACTCTGCTGCATAATCATCTACACAGACCTTCTGCCTTACTTTGCAAACATGGCCTTGTTAAACAACTTGTACTTATTGAAATACGGCTTTCTATTGCCCTTCCTTATACACATCTTTTTCTAAATCCAGTTAAGCTTCCTGCCATCTGACCCATTGCCCCATCAGAGATTAGCTTACAGAGCATTTATTTCATTAAAATTTCACTGGCATTTTGAAAACACATCGTGAACATTGGCATCGACTGTATAACAGCCTTAATTAGTAGTTCTTACTAGCTTGAGACAATAATTTTTCCTCCCACCTTCGAGCCTTTTAATTATCTTCCATTTCAATTTGAAAGCAAAAACAGAATTTCATACACATACACATACGTTGGTGACCCTACATACCTTTCATTTAGGAACAAACAATCATCACCACCAACACCTCCAAGTCCTTGCTTTCATCATCCCTGCAGTTACTAGTGATGGCCTCAACAATTCACATTTTCCCATGACCGCCTCCCTCACTTTTTTGTCATCTCCTTCAAGGACTCAAAACATCCCCATCTGCTTGCAAAATATTAGTCAATTAGTAGCTAAAAGTGGATGATGGGTAGTTCACAACTGTCATTTTCACTACACTATTCCATTGTACACCAATCTTTGGTAAATCAATCATCAATAGCTAACCCAAAGCCTTTCCAACTTTTTCAATAACAGACTTCAGTTTTGCACATATTGGAAAATAAGCAATTATGTAATTTAAGTTATTTAAAATAATATTTCTTTAATATACTTACTGACTTGTAAATAATTTTGTACATAGGAAGCATCCTTTTGGTGCTTGTATTTAATATATTTCGTATACTTTTTATTTAAAAAACAAAAAGTTATTTAAAATGATCATGTGCTTATTTACAAAATAAGAAATTATCTTTAAGAAGGCAAAGGAAAATTATTTAGATGAAAAATTATTACCAAAGAAAAACTTTGGAATGTGACACTTTTTCCCTGCTTAACGGTTGTTTTAAGCACCTTACCTTTCCTTTAGCAGATGCGTAAATTGAAGAGTGTCAAAAAGTTACTTGTAAGCGGCAATAAGTAATTCCAAACACCTTCTATATAACAGTTAGTTCAAGATCAGCGAAAATATTCTATGATGTAATTCAAATTAGAATAATGTCTATTTCATCATGTATTTTAGAGACTAGAGGTAACCCACCTGTGAAAAGGCTTATGAATTTTCCTTTCATTTTATGTTATTATGGTCCTCTTGTTTTCTTCAATAGTCATACTTAGATGGGCTCTTTGTTGTTTTCGCATTAGCTTTCACTTTATCTTTATATTTGAAATTTTAATTTGGTGTGTATATCTCTGTTTTTTCTTTTTTTGAAGAATTCTTTTTCATCCATTCTACAGTTGGTATTCCGCACGGTTGGCTTTTCTGGAGCAGATATTAGGAATCTGGTCAATGAAGCTGCAATAATGTCTGTAAGTTACATTTGCATATTAGTAAAAGTCAATAAAATTGTCACTGCCCCACCAAGGTAAATGGTATTCACTTGCAACTGCAATGACCTTACCTTGATAAGGGTTAGATAACCACTTTACAGTTAAGCAATTAACTATTAGGGGGTTGTCCATGTAATAATTTAATGGACAATTTAGGATAGTAATTTGTCCTTCAATCCTTGTTCTCCTTTTTCATCCCATGATAACTGCTTCTCATAAGGAAACGATGATTGGGTTGAAAATAATTGGGATTTTCCATCTGATACAGACCATAAGATGCTTTTCATCGTCATCTTCCCTTCTCTCATAGAGATGCATACCAGTGCCAATGGATCTATCTTGTGTTTTCTTTTCCTCCCTTGGTTTCTCTTGGTCTTCTTTTCTCCCCTTTTCATCATCTTCTTCTCTTTCAAGAATGGACACTTTTGGTGAAGGCTGCACCAGTTTCGCATCGGCATAACTTGGATTATGTTTCTTACTTTGAGATCCAAACAAAGTTAAGTACATCAATCTAATTGGTCATTTCCTGGTGTTGAGACACTCTAGAAGCCCTATTATGGTTCTTACTAGGGAAATCAAGTTTGATGTACTTTGAAAGGAAAGCACCCCTGTTCATGTGTCCACTTACGCTGACCGAAAGTTCTCCATATACTTCATCGAAACAAGTTGCCAACAAATAAAACTTGATGTAGGCTTGATCTTGATCCTCATTGTAAGTTTTGAGAAAAGATTCAAATATCGAATGTAAATCGTCCGTAACTTCTAGTTATGATACCAATTTTTATGATCCACTCGTAGGATCTAGTTATTATTAGATTTTGATAATAGTATGAGCTCGTTAAGAGAGAAGCCGATTATCTCTTAAGAGTTTAAAGTACGCAAGAATTTTTCTGATAAACTTTTCTGCATATCTTATTCAGATTATTTTTATATTTCTATACAAGAAAGCATAACTTCTCCCAAGAATAATAACTTCTTTAGTTGGAAGTAACTTTCGCCACGTGCTAGAAATTTCCTTCACACTTAATAACTACTTATGTTCTTAAATAAAAAAACTAGATACTGAAAAAATGTTAATTAGAATCTAATCCAACAACAGAATTTTTATTAAATAAAAATTCTGTTCTAGCAGCATGTGTCAATCATTTCCAGAGCCATGTGGCTCATAACAAAGTAGGGATTTGCAAATTTATAGTTAAAAAGGATATTTTGGTCATGCTATGGCTCCATGTTGAAGAACCTCACTGCATCCTCTTATGATTTTATGCATTTTAGCTGAAGCTTTTTATAGATCTAGTTTCAATGCATACAATCTTATAATTGTTGCAGGTAAGGAAAGGCCATTCCAAGATCTACCAGCAAGACATAGTTGATGTGTTAGATAAACAATTGCTTGAAGGTATGGGCGTACTTCTCACAGAGGAAGAGCAGCAGAAATGTGAACAGAGTGTAAGTTACTGGGTTGTGGTTTACTGGTGCATATGAAATTAAAGACTGCAATGAGGTTCTCACTACCTTCTTTCTTCAATGGATCTGACTTCAGGTGTCTTATGAAAAGAGGAGACTTCTGGCTGTTCATGAAGCTGGTCACATACTTTTGGCTCACTTGTTTCCTCGATTTGATTGGCATGCATTTTCTCAACTTCTACCTGGTGGCAAGGTATTAATTGCTTTCACAGGATTGAAGTGCAGCAAATGACCCGTTCCTGAAATGTTCTGTTCAATAAGACATGCTTCCCCTTTGTTTTCTTCATGATTTCCCACTACGTTGTCATAATGGTCGCGTTCAAACTAGGTTTCACTGTTCCACTTAGAGGTCTCATTTAAACTCGACTTTCATTTTAGTGTCAATGCACTCCATAAATTCACTTATCAGCCTCAAGCAGCAGCGTTTTACTGCTTGTTTCTAATAATCCATCTTTTGTTTATTTTTTATTTTTAAAAACTCTTTGTTGTAAAAAGAAGTTTTTACCATCAGCATTTTTACCTTCTGAACATGTTTTTGGAATTCAAATTGTCTGAAAACAACATATGAATAATGTGTTCTATTCAAGTTTAACTGGAGGGAAGAACATAGGGGATGGAGCTGGGTAGGAGAAAGTGCTTTGTGATGCAGCATAGGAAGTTTCTAAAGTAACATATTTCAATAGTAGGAAATGTGAGGTAGGACTAATAAAGAAATATAAACGGTTTGGGAAATTAATTAAAATGAATAAGAAGACTTAATTTCCTTTTCTGAGTTTTGGAAAGTTTAATAAAAGAAAATAGGAAGATTTATTTTCCTAATGTCTAGATTTCCTATCTCCTTTGTTCTTTCTATTTAATTTTTTTCATACATACTAGATCTTTTAGATTTTTAACTTTTGATGTATTTGGTGCCTATAAATAAGGTACCTAGTTTAGTTATTAGTTAAACTATTCATGATAATTATTTAAATATTGATATGTTACTTTGATTATTGAGATTCAGGATTTGTAAATGTAGTTCTTAATAAAATTTCTTGTATTTTTAAACTCTTTTTGTCCAACATCATTTTGGCAAAGATTATTTACAGAATGTCTAATGGCCAGCACCACGGAGGCTGTTGTTCATGGTTGGCTTTTATTAATTTTTTAACCCGTTGTTCCAATATATATACAGGAAACTGCAATATCTGTCTTCTATCCCCGTGAAGACATGGTTGACCAAGGTTATACAACATTTGGGTACATGAAAATGCAAATGGTGGTAGCTCATGGTGGGCGATGTGCTGAACAGATTGTGTTTGGTGATGACATAACAGATGGAGGAAGGGATGATCTAGAGAAGATAACTAAGGTTATTTTGTTTTCTCGTATATTCAGCACATTTTATGCTTTTGATGGAAATTTGTAAACTGCATATCTCTCTCTCTCTCTCTCTCTCTCTCTCATATGCCTACAAGGATGCATGCATAGGTCATACATCAACTATCAACTGACTAATACAAACACATGGAAATATTGTATAGATTTTGAACTTTGGCGTAATTTTCTTAAATGGTGAAGGAAGCAATTTTCTTGTTTAGATGATTTAGATGAAATCAGAAAGAGAAAGAGAAAGATGTTCTCTTAGAAGATAAAGATTGAAAAATTGAGAGAAACAAAAGTATTTATGGAAAACTGAATTATAACCAACCTTTCCAGCTATAGATCCTTCCTTATATGGTTCCTATGAATTTCTAAAACTGAAAGCCCATACAAGGCTGTCCTTTTGACTGGCTACTAAAGATTTATGCTTTGAGGAGATCTTGAAGCAACAACCATAAGAAATATATTTGTTGATTAGAATATTTTATTATTTAATTAGACTTCTATGACAATAGCAATTTTCTTATCTGTAAATTAAGAATTTTATAAATACTTTAGGTGCAATAACATAAAGAGTGTGGAAAATAAAATTTATATTTTTTCTCCAAAATTAACATAGTATTAGAGACAAATTAAAGGTATTTTAGGGTTTCCTTCAAACGCTAAAATAACACCATAACCTGAGTTGATTCTTGTGTATCAAAGAGTTACATCCCACCAACAGCGGTTTGCCTCACTGTTGGCCTATTGCGCCTACTTTGGTGGTTTTTTCCGAGCGTGTAAGCCACACATGCCGTTAGAAATCTTCTCCTTCAGCTAGAATCGGTCTTCTGGTGTGTGCACGGGGACCAGCTTTATAGATTCGGTACATATTCCCCTCTGTCGTGCAAACTCGACCGCATCGGGATAGATTTCACAATTCGGCGCAGATCTACTTCCCCCGCACTCGAGCCGCTCCGACCGGCTTTATTTGGTCATTTTTCTAGCTCTTCCGCGCGCGTCCACCTTTGGTTTCGCGACACCGGCACTGATATGATTTTTCCGCACGTGAACTGCTCTGATTAGTTTTCTTTGCTCCTTTTTCCGGCTCTTTCATGCATGTTTGCCTCTACTTTTGAGATACCGGTGCTGATTCGGTTCCTTCGCGCGCGAGTCGCTCGAATTGACCTTATTTGGTCTTTTTCCTGAGCATCACCGCCATTGCTGCCGCCTCTTTGTCGGACTGGTCTTTTTCCGGTCACTATCTTCACGCTTGCAACATATTTTTTTGGAATTTGGTCTGCAAGTTGAGCATGCATGATATTTTTGTACCAACTTGGGGGAGTGTTGACTAAAATATTTTGTTATTTAATTCGTCAATATGATATAATTAGAATTATACTAGAATAATAATCTCATGTAATTAAAATTCTATTAAAATAGTAATTTTTTTATCTGTAGGTTAAGAATTTTATAAATATATCAAGTTTAACAATATAAAGGGTATGAAAAAATAATATTTATATTTTTTTTCTAAAATCAACAATATTATATACTATTTAAGATCTACAGTCAAACATTTTTCCATCAGAAGGACCTTGACATTTAGTATTTGCAGCTTTAAATTGATATTAAGATTACTGTTCGTAAAAAAAATTTAACTTGGTTCTATCTTTTCTTCTCTTGTTCACCCTGTAAGAATTTTTAAGTACTATTTCAAAAATTCATTTTCATTCCAAAATGCATAAGCATAAGGATTACCACCCAAAGGAACCGTATTTAAGTTAGGTGAATGATTGAGTTTCAATCGCGACTTCTTTGTATGCAACTATCATTCATCCTACTAGAGATGATTCGCTATATTCTGAGGCTTTCTAAGGATGGTATTTTCTCTGAGACCCTTTTATGAACATTTGAATGTTTTCCTCATTCCTATCGTTACTTTTTGGGTTATATAGAACACGAGGAATTGTAGAGCCTTTTGAAAACTCCAATTTTCCTTTTTCTTCTATTACTAATAAATTATTTCATAAACTTTGCATTTCATTTAGAGATTATCTACTATTTGATAGATGATCTAGGAGATGCTACTCCTATCTTGGCCTTTCTTTCTTTGTAAAATTTTGTATATGGGTGACACTTTCTTTTTGTCTTCTCAATGTTATATCCCTTTCTCTCTCTCTCTCTCTCTATATATATATGTCTCAAGTATATATATTGGCATCTCCACTTCTCTCTCTCTCTATATATATGTATATATGTCTCAAGTATATATGTTGGCATCTCCACTTCTCTCTCTCTCTATATATATGTATATATGTCTCAAGTATATATGTTGGCATCTCCACTTAATGTAGTTTCTAGAGATCAGAGAATGCTATTGTTCATTTTATTTTGAAAATTAAATATATGGTATGTAGCAGGTACTTGATCGGTAATTTCACCACTTTATGCCCCAAGACTTTTGCCAATCTAGTAGTGTTACTCGCATAGTCCAGTCTCACAAGTTTTGAATTTGTAAAGTTGATATTAAGAGCAAAACGACTTGAAAGCACAAGAGAACAAGTCGAAGGTTGAATGGTGCACATTCGTCCGGTTTACAAAATATTAATGTATCATCTAAAAAAGACAAGTAGATTGCCTCCTGTCGCGAAGTCTTTAAGGTGTATAACAGGAGAAGGGTGAAAAGAGGAATTCATGTATAAGGGTTAAATAGAAAAAGCACACACTAGGGTAAATGTCATTTCACCGTTAAAAGAATATGGAAGAGCGGTTTGGGTTTTTTGGTAGGTGGTTTTGCCGATCGTTGTAACACCGACAATTGTAACAAATTTATTGCATTGGTTACAATTGATGCAAGCAATCAGTAACAAATCGACGCATCTAAAAATTAGTGTGCCCAATAATATTTGAGTTAGTTCGAGTCACTATAAAATTTAATTATGGAGATTTACTCATAGTACTTAACGAAACGACTTCTTTGAAAAGTCAACCACTTAAACAAAAGAAGGTAGAGTAAGGAAGTGGGCCAAACAAAAGCAAGCAATTGAGGGTGGCATCGAATTCTTGGTAATGAAAATTCCAAAAGAGATATAGACTCTAGAGATCTCCAACAAATCATTGGAAGAACTATTTAACCAATATAAGGATGTCTACTTGGAGCCCTAAGAGTTGCATTCAATCAGAGCCTTCGACTATGCCATCACATTATCTTAGGAGAATGTTACAGTGAATATACGTTCTTACAGATATTTGTTCCATAAGAAGAACAAAAAGGAGAAGCCAATAAACAGAATGTTAGATGACTTGCTAATTCGACTCAGTCGTAGCCATTTCTCTTCACCAATATTATTGGTCAAAAAGAAGGATGAGACCTTGAGGATTTGTGTTGATTATAGAAAATTCAATTCTCTGATTGTAAAACATAAGTTTCCAACACCTATTATTGATGATCTTCTTGATGAATTACATGATGTATCTATATTCTCTAAAATTAATCTTTGAGTAGAGTCTCATTAGATTCAGGTAAAGGAAGAAACAACCTTCAGAATGCATCAAGGTTACTATGTATTCAAACTTATGCCCTTCATCATCACTAATGCTAGATCTACATTCCAGATCCTCGTGAATCACATTTTCGAAGTCTTTTTACGAAATTTTGTTCTTGCTTTCTTTAATGATATATTGATTTATAGTACGACCGAACAAAAGTACCTTGACTAGTTGGAAGAAGTCCTAAAGTTACTCAAAAGCAGCAAGTTGTTTGATGAACAATCTAAATGCTGTTTTTTTCCAGATGAAGGTAGAATATGCGGATCATATAATCTCCTAACAAGACATAGAACTGGGCCCCCAAAAAATCATAGCTACAGTCAAGTAGCCGACTACAAAAATATTAAAAGCCGTAAGAAAGTTTCTAGGCCTAATATGGTACTATTACACATTCATATAAAATTATGGAGTCGTAGTGAAACTATTACTAACTTATTGAAGAAATGTGCCTTTTAGTGGAATAGAGAGACTGACCAAGTCTTTGAATTTTAAAAAAATCAACCATGATTTCTAGTCCCGTACTGAGACTACTAAAATTTGGGAACTTGTTCACTATAGAGAATGATAACAACAACAAAGGAATTTGTGTAGTTCTAATGTAAGACAATTGACCCATAGCTTTCATTAATAAAGCTCTCAGCCCAAGGAATCAAGCAAAATCAGTGTACGAAAAAAACTCATGGCGGTTTTGTATGTCGTAGGTCAATGATGACAGTATTTGGAAAGAACCCCTTTCGTCGTCAAAACCGACCAATGCAGCTTTAAGTATCTGTTCGATCAAAAAATGACCTAGATGATATAATAGAAGGGAATCGTGAAGCTATTAGGTTAAATTATACTACCTAGTACAAAAGAGGATCGTCCAACACCGTCGCCACCGATGCTCTCTCAAGAAAGGAATCGGATGATCCTGAGGCAGAAGTATTGTACATTGTATCCACCTCCACCCTTGCTTGGACAATAAGTAAGCAACAACTACGCCAATGATCTCTTCACTCGACAGTTATAGAATTGATGGTTTTTCCAAATAGCAGATCTCCTTTTAACCTGCAATAAGGCATCATTAGGTACAAATGAAGGTTGGTAATAGATGATAAAGAATTGTGGAATCAACTAATATACTAATGTCAACAACTTAGCAATGGTTGGGGGGGGCACTTAGGAACTAGAACCACTTTAAGTGGACCAAACAACACTTCTGTTGACGTAATATGAAGAATCATATTCTACTATGGGTCCAATAATATTATACAAATCTACGTTGCAAAACAGAGAAGATTCCTACATTGGGTCTACTCTGGTCATACCCTCAGATGCTTGAACTCATATATTCATAGATTTCATCAAGATGCTACCAAAATCTGATGGAAAAGACACCATATTAGTAGTTGTGAATCGTTTTACCAAATACGGATACTTCATATTATTACACCACCCGTTCATTGTAGCTTGAGTCGTCAGCTGTTATATGGATACTATGCATAGAGTACATGGAATTCCACAAGTTATAGTGTTTGACAGAGACAAAATTTTCAGCAATTTGTTCGGGAAAGAGTCGATGAAAGCGGTAGGAGCAAACTTGCATTTCAGTTTTGCATATCATCTGTAGATGGACGGTCAAACTAAATAGGTACCAATTTATCAGGATGTATCTATATTATATGGCTAATCAACAACCAAAGATTTGAGGTAAATAGATGGTCGCTGCTGAATGATGGTACAATACCTCCTATCACACGAGTCTAAAACTAACCCCTTTTTAAGCACTTTATGGATATCCTCCTCCAGATTTCTTAAACTATGTAGAACTTTATTCAGTTTCACCTTTAATCGAAATGCTCTTATCTGAAAGAGAAGAAACTAACAAAACAATCCATCAGTAGCTATTGAGAGCACAGTTAAGGATGAAATAGTACATAGACAACTACTAAAGTGAAAGAAGCTCTAAAGTCTAAGACTGAGTACTGCTCAACTTATAATCCTTCAAACAAGGGTCAGTAAAACAGGGAAGAGAGTCTAAATTATCTCCTCAATACCACAACCCATTTTAAGTCTCACAAAAAATTGGTGATGTAGCTTACAAACCCAAGTTGCCAACAACCTCACAAATCCACCCTGTCTTTCATGTGTCTCAACTCAAGAGATACGTCCCGAGCACAGAGATGATCCAACAAGACTTACCTCCCAATATTTATGAGGTTTCGTCAGTGTGCAACCTCAACGAGTCGTGCAACAACAAACTGTACTGCGTGGCAACTAGCCTGTGGATCAAGCTCTTGTCCAATGGAAAGCAGCTTCAGCTGAAGAATTTACATGGGAAGACTGTGAGTATATTTGGCATTAGTTTCTTAATCTCAACCTTGGGGATATGGTTGTTGTTAAAGGGAATTGTATTGTCACGAAGCCTTCGAAGGTGTATGGTAGGAGAAGGGTAAAAAGGGAATTAATTTACAAGGGTAATATGGGAAAAACACATAAAATGATAAAAATGTTAGTTGATCCTTAGAAGAATCTAGAAGATGTGGTTAAGGTTTTTCATTAGGTGGTTTCACTGGCCGTTGTAACAAATCCATTGCATCAATTGCAACCTTTGCAATCAATCTATAATGGATTGATGTGCCTAAAAATTGGCGCGTCCAACCCTCGATTATGCCTATAAGTAGGCTAATTTTATGTTATTTAAAAAAAGGCTAATTTTAGTGGAGAATGCATCGAAAAATTTATTTAGAAATATCTTTCATATTCTCTTTCGATCTTTGCTTCTCTGCTTTCTCTCTGTTCTTTCTCTCACTATCTTTTTCTCAAAAAACTCAGTCAGAATCATGATCGAGGGTTTTGACACCTCCTCAGTTAACTCTCCTTCTCCTTCCTTGAGTCCTCTGAACAGATCCATCTCCCTAGCTCTCAATATCAATTTGTTCAAAACTTCTATAACAACATTAAATAGTAGTAGAGATAGCTGAGTCTCATTTTCTAAGACTTCTAGATGCGTTAATGAAAGGAGATGGACCCCCATTCGCTAAGACTGCAAAAGATGTTGTAGTGATGCAGGAGTTGATTCATTTACATCATCTATCTTTGAAGCTTATTCGCACTAGCATATAGTCAATAAATCTCTAATTAAAATGATCATGGTTTTTCTTTATATCAAGTTCGCATAGGACTCCATCTCTATTCAGAAATAGTAAATCATCCACAACCTCATTAGCCACCTGAACTGCATCCATAATTTTTCATCCTTCCACAAAAGTATGTTGACATTCCCCTACCACTTTATCCATCATGTATACCATATGTCTAGCTAACACCTTCACTATGAGCTTGTATGTGCTCCCACCTAAACTGATAGGTCGGAAGTCCTTAATGTTAACTGCCCCTCCACCTTAGGAATTAATAACAACAAAGATTAGTTTAAAGATTTCACAAAAGTTCCTGCATCATGCAGTTCTTTAAAAAACTCTAAGATATCCTCTTTCATTAAATGTAAGAATTTCTAGAAAAAACCCATGCTAAAACCATCAGGTTTAGGAACTTTATCCTTACTGCAACGTAGAAGTCGCTCATAGATTCCTCTTCAGTGAATTCTTTTCCGAATGAAACACAACTTATCTCATCTTCTTCAGAGAATGCTATTGTTCACACAAGGTCAATTTTTTAAATTGATTTTTTTGGAAGCATACAATTCAAAATTAGACACTGCTACTGTGTGCTCATTCATAACATTTTAGAAATTTCTTTATTATTGTTATTAGAATTCTCCTAAACAAGCTTTTTCCATTTTAATCTAGTGTGCTCCCTTTTAATATTAATCTTTTCTTTATTTTCATTCATTCTTTTATCCATATGTTTTGCCTAAGTTATGACTATTCTTTGATCACTGGTATTATCTTGACTGCTATCTAGTGGCACCCTGCTTTAGTTGGTTTTGAAATTTCTTTAGACTCGAGATAAATACAGGTTAGCTAGGTTCTTTTCTGATGAAAATTGGGCTTTTCTCTTAGGAACATGAAAATACTTAACTGTTTATTTTCTTAAAATTTTCATTAAATCTGGTAGTAAAGAAATTTCGTACACAGTATATTCTGTGGTACTCTGAAGTTTGCAGCTTCATTTGTAGTCAATGATCTTGCTCAAATGTCCAATTGCTGCAAACAGTTTCTTCAATAAATCCAGTTTAATTACTTCTGTACTTTGAAGAGCACATTTGCAAGACTCAGTATGCTATAAACTCTAACTATAAACTTTTTTTCACAAAAACAAATCTTCTTACTGCAATTACTAGCAATTAGAGGGCTTTTATTTAAATCCGTGGTCTCTGGATTTAGTAATTTAGTGTTCGCCCTGTCCTAGATATTCATATTTATGTTCAGTTTTCTTTAAATTTGCAGGGCTCTTGTTCTAATGTATATTTCACTTCAATTTTCTCTTCAGATTGCTAGGGAAATGGTGATTAGTCCACAAAATGCTAGATTGGGGCTCACCCCTTTGACAAAAAGGATTGGACTCCTGGATCGTCCTGATAATGCTGATGAAGAGATGATAAGATACAGGGTATGTTAATCTATCATGAGTTGCAATTCGAAACAGAGATATTGTGAAGACCCTCTTCATTTTTTACAGATGCATGTATATATGGAGAGATGTTTGTCTGCACATGCATGTGCACAATGTATTTTTATATACTCAACAATCTTGATTTACTGACTCCTTGTTTCCTCTTCTTTATGTTGTTAAGTGGGATGATCCTCAAGTTATTCCTGCCAATATGACAGTTGAAGTTTCTGAGCTACTTACTCGCGAGTTGACGAGGGTAATATTTTGTTTCTTCCTTCATGATTGTTAGAATATGAAACAATGACAATAGATGATGGTGTCTCACTGCATCCCGAAAGTGAGTTTTCCTAAAGAAACCTTCTACTTTAAGCAGCTGTCATTATGTAGTGGATGCATATTGACATTACAAAATGAGCTAAAAGTACAAAGAGATGAGATGGTTTCAGTTGAGCTTCTTGGCTTTCTATGGTTGTTTGTGTTGAGCCACTTAAAAGGACATACTATTGATCACTTACGATAACAACTTCCTCCTCCTATCTGTGCTTTCCCACCTGCATATTAATATATTCTAATCAGATACAAGTATTTTGAAGTTTTCCCTCTTAGCGAATCAGCTACCATAAAGTAGTTCCTCATTTACAACGAAGTTACTTCTAATTTATTGTTTAACCTCAAAATATGCATCATGTTCTTCGAAGTGTATAACAGTAATCTGTCCAACATATACAGATAACTGCTGCTGGAAATCATTTCCAACCTGTGCATGGGATAAATCTGCAGATGGCTAAATAAATGATAACTGAAGATCATGAAACTTTGTTTGATGGCCTCTTTCATTTTTATATTGAGATCTAACCATTGAAGTTGTGATGTTTTATGCTGGTGACAGTATATTGAGGAGTCAGAAGACTTTGCCATCAATGGTCTTATGGCTAACCAACACGTACTGGACTGGATAGTGAGCGAACTGTTGGAAAAGTCAAGAATTACTGGATTGGTATGCTAGATTTATTTTTTGTTTACTCTATTCTTAGTAAATGGTTGTTCCAAAGGCGTCATTTTAGTTTCTTTCTTTCATAATCAATTCTTAAGTCCTTCTATCAGTTTCAGGTAGATTTACTAAGTTTTCCTCAACTTAAATTCAGTTCATAATTCTTGGAATTAGTATTGACTAAGATCTATTGATAGGCTGCTGAGGAGGAAAGCTGATTAACCCATTTTTCGGTGATGCATATTTTGGTTTTTCTAGCAATTGTGATACTACTAGAAATTAGGTGGTCGATGCCATGAGTGGCCCCCATTGCCATTTGAGAATTTGTACACTACCCTCTTAAAGTTACAATGCACGTATGTAGTGTTTCTTCCTCTTATTTTTAGGCCTATGGCCATCATAGACACTTGAACATGAGTTCTTGGTAAACCCTGAGAAGGGAAACTGCCAATACACCGAACTGACAGGCATGTTGTGCTACGAGATATTAAAACAAAGTGACTATTTCTCAAACGGAGGAGCTAAAAATGATAGCTTTGAAAAGTTTGTGACGGAGAGACATCTCAAGTAGTCGAGTGCTTTTCATTAGAGGTCTGTTTAAAATTAGCAACTGATTCAGGTCCTTGGTTGTGGTTCTATTTTAAGACAGAAATAACTCTTCCATCTTGGAAAGTTGTCCTCAATAAAGAAACATGAAAGAGGAAAGAGAAAAGAGAAAGTTAAGAATCCTACCCAAGCAACTTGGTCCTGTGTTTATTGGAGTACATTCTTGAAATATATAAATACTATCATTGTAGGTCGCAAATCATACCTTCTAGTAGAACCAACAGAATTTAACATTGTTTTTATATAAGATCATATATTTATTTATAGCCAAGTGACAGGAATCGATTGTTTCGTAAACTAATGATCTGCAAATAGTAGTGCATTGCCTTCTGCCCTAAAAACTAAACTTTCATTTATTTTGCGAACTAGCTCCAACCATATTTTCCTTGTTTCTTGTCATAGGAAGTTGAAGCAAAGATGAAGGAATTGTCTCCTATACTATTTGAGGATTTTGTGAAACCGTTCCAGATTAACATGGAAGAGGTACTTTCTTATTCTACCAATTAAGTCAACCATGTCAATCATGAAACAGATGGTTTCTTTTTCTTCTTGATTATTATTATTATTGTCATTGTTCTCCCTCCACCCCCCCCCCCCAACCCCCCCGGCTTGCCTTTGCCTTGCAGGGGTGTAGCAAGGTTATGAGCTAGGCAAACCATTCCTTTACTTTCGCCATGTGAACTTTTAGAGAAAGAGGATAAATCCTTGGTAACTTTTTTGAAGGGAAGATAAATGAAATCCTCGAGCTCCAAAAAATTGATTTTGATTTAATTTCTCCTTCTGCTTGTTTATTTTAGATTTCTTGGTTTTTCGTGTTTTTCTGCGAGTTCTAGGTAAAACATCGAAGGTCTCAAAAAGGGCTTTTAAAGTGTTGGTAATTCAATTTATGTCGTGGATAGATTAGAAATAAAAAAAATTTAGATGAGAAATAAAAGAATAGAGATAGATACTAGAGGAAATTTGTAATCAAGGTAAAGAAACATAGTGAGCAATACCTGAATTAGATAGATTAGATAAAATAATAACCAGAAGAACAAACAAAAAGGGAAATTCAGAGGATAAAACCCTAGCAAAGAAATATTAATTCATAATCATCTATCTATTCTTTGTAGGTAGCTACTAGTCTTTTATATGCAGCATTGGTTACATCTAATAAAGAAATTTGTAAGAAAAAAAAAATTAAAAGATTCTAATTGCTATAATACTTAAAATCTATCTAAATAACTCAAGTTTCAATTAATTTAAAAGATACCTAAATAAGCTTCTTTAGGAAAAAGAAAAACTACCTAAAAAAGCTAAAATAAATTAAAGATAGTAAATGCTAACAATAGTTACATAGATCTTTCTTGAGACACAAACTATTCCAATTTACCACTCTCGTGTGCTGTATCATTGTACCTTAGTTGGTAAAAACTTTATCTTGAGCTTTGAAGTGGCATAGTGTTAAGAGTGGAAAGACTTAGGCATACTTTTCACAATCTTCAAAAAATTCAAGGCTTATGATAATCTCCACGGAAAAATTGGAACGTAACCAAAATTATAGGTTCCTTAGGAGCATTAAGCTAACAAGAAAAATTAAATCATCCCAAATTATCTATTCAATGCAATCATCATAGACACTTACGACTTTAATAATACCTTGAGGTAGAGGAGGATTATTGAAAGCAGTAAGTTGTTTAACATCATTAGCATGAACAAAGCAACTTTAATGAGAATAAGAATTTCTCAAGCTGCAACTGCTGGACCTAAAGGAGCATCTTCTAAGATAAGGAAAGTGTTAGTCCTACTCTTGAGCTTAGAGTTGAATTATTGCAGAAAACTCCATACTTTTGACTTCCGAGTACAGGTCTTTTTTATGCATCGTATTTAACAGACAATAGTTAGCATTATATGCAACAACTATTGAAAGTAATTTTAGCATATATAGTATCTTCAACAAATTGATATTAGATATGAGCTAATTATAGATTGTCAACTACCATGTTTTATTATTTAATTAATTTATTAGTTTATTATTTAATTAATTGTTATGATATAATTTAGAATTTACCAGAATAGTAATTTAATGTAACTAGAATTTTAGTAAAATAGTAATTTCTTTATTAGTAGGTTAAAAATTTTATAAATATTTGAGATGTAACAATCTAAAAAATGAGAAATAAAATTATTATTTTTTCTTCAAAATTTGCATGGTATCAGAGAAAAATAAACTATCTTAAGGTTTTAATTTCAGGGTTTCCTTCAAAGTCTAAAATAACACAATAAGTTAGTACTCAATTATCCAGATCTACTCTCATCACTACCTCAACTAGTGTTAAAGACTCATAAGAGGCAGCGTCTTCTGGTGGAGAAGATGAAGCGGCGCGCGGCAGTCGATCAATAGTGGTGCGGCGGATGATCTATCAGATCAGTAGAGACCGTGGAAAAAGGCAGATTTATGCGTGAACGGCTTGTCCTGTTAGATTTGTGTAGGTGCATGGCCAGAAAGCTGGAAGACGAACCGACCGGCGATAGATTCGGTGAGCGACTTGAGACTAGAAAAGTCGTGGTTGCTCCCGATCTGCGCGAAGAGAGATCCGAAAAAGGAGAGCAACAAATCTGGTGAGAGAAGACAAACCCTCTGGCGAGCGAGAAGGCGGAGCAGCTCGCGTGACAAATCCATCTGGAGAAGGCGAATCCCGCTGTGTTTTTCCAAATCTGTCTGGAGGAGGAGTTAGAGCCATTTTTTAGTGAGTTCGAGCTAGTTTTGAGCTGAGTTCGAGTCGTTTTTGAGCCAATTTCAATCCATTTTTGAGCCGTTTTTTACCAAAGTTCGAGTTGTTTTTGAGCTGACTTCAAGCTATTTTTGAGCTGAACATGAGTTGTTTTTAAATCGAGTTTAAGCCGTTTTGAGCCAAGCAGAGTCAAGCTTTTGCCTGACAGATCTAGTTCCAGTTTGCAACACTTTTTGGGCATCCTTTGACACTGATAAAATGAAGGGATGGCTTTTCATAACTTGATCAGCAAGTTGAGCATGTGTGATATTCCTATACTAACTTGAGGGGGGTGTTGATTATCATATTTTATTATTTAATTATTTTATTAGTTTATTATTTAATTAGTTATGATGATATAACTAGAATTTTTCTACAATAGTAGTTTCATGTAACTAGAATTGTAGGAAAATAATAATTTTCTTATTAATAGGTTAAGAATTTTATAAATTTCTCAGATGTAACAATTTAAATAGTGAGAAACAAAATTATTATTTTTTTTCCAAAATCTACATAGACGTATCTTCATACTCTATTTGCATCTATAAAGACAAAAAACTTGGTGATGCAGAACAAGAAACTCATAAAATGAACATATTTCAATAATGCGAATATGAGGCAGAATCAGTAAAGAAACATAAATGTTTGAGGAAGTTAACTAAAAGGAATAAGAGGATTTAATTTTCTTACTTTAAGTTTTGAAAGTTTTACAATAAAGAAAAATAGGAAGATTTATCTCCTTATTTCCTAGATTTCCTATTTCCCTAATTCTTTTGAGTTAACTTATTTTCCTATTTATTGAGTTTTTTAGGTTTCCTGTTTTTGATATATTTGGTGCCCATAAATAAGGTATCTGGTTTAGTTATTGAGTGAACTATTCATGATAATTATTAAAATATTAAGAGAACTACTTTAATTATTGAGATTTGATATCTCCAAATTTTTGTTCTTAGTAATATTTTTCTATGTTTTGTTTATAAGCTCTTTTTGTCATACATCAGTTAAGTATTAGAGCCTAAATTCATTTCATCATGCTGTCTTAATTTACTCATTTCAAACGTACAAAGTACAACTCTACTATCTCCTAAAAAGAAACTCTAAGATCTTAAAATAGCTCCAGCAGCAACAAATAATGAAGATATCAATAGTTGACTTGTGATTTCTGGCCAACACCGTGAGGTGGTCAACACTGCACTTTTTGTTCACTTCAGATGCTGCTAAGCTCCTCCACCATATTTCAGCCTCTTACCGTCGCCGAAATCCTCCTTTCTCACCATAAACTCATAGGATTGACTCTGGAATCAGAAGATCTTCTCCTCGACCGTGACAAGTAGTGCCATGCCCAAATAAGAGACTAGCTCTATAGTAGAGCTCCCCACCACAAAAACAAAGTAAGAGGGTAACCGGAAGCTAGCCTGACCACTACACATGATCGGAGCATGTGGATTTCGGTATTCTGAAGCCCTTTGTTCACTGGTTCAAAGCAGTTTGACCATATTCGATTCGGCTTGTCCTAGTTCAGCTTTTCAGATTGGTTCTCTACATTTTTGGCATGATATTTCACTTGTCTAGGTTAGTTTCGTGGAATTCATATTCAGTCTCACTTTTCTTTTGGCTGGTTAATAATTTCAAGAAGTAAATCAATATCTATTCACGTGTTCAACAAAAGTAATTTGACTTAAGCGTAAATTATTGAGTCTCTAAATCGCATTGATGGAAGAGAAAATGAATGCATAGCTAGTAGCTTTATGACATCATGCGGAAAAAGGCTTGAAAGATGGCGTATGGACATCGATTATCTGCTTATTAACACTTGTCATTCAATCAGTGAGATTTTTTGACTTTTGAATCAAGTATTTCCTCTGAAAGGTATGTCAACAGCCATTGTGAGATGCCCTTTATCCATTATTAAAACCATTAGTTGTTGATCAACTTCTCAAGCACTCTAATACCAATGTAAAACTTGAAGTTGGTTATTGCAAATGTGAGTTAAGTAGAATAACTGCACTAGATATTCCTTATGATCATACAAAAATGAAAAAGGTTTTTGAGCAATTTATTTCTACATTTAAATTATTAAGGGATCGGACAAGACAATCACATTTTAGTGAAATCTTAATTCCTAAAATTTTTGCAAGAATTAGGCCATATCTGGTGATGTTGTCCTTGATTCTGAAGATTAATGATAGAAATGGTCAAGTACTTCTTCATGTCCATCCAATGGCAAAGGAAGAGATCATGATCACACTTTTACAAGAAAGTGATTATATCTCAATGGAATTGCTATCTCCACTTCTGCACAGTGTCCTCTAAAAGTCTCACAGTTTGAAGAGATAAGGAAAAATCTGCAGGAATTCTCTTGCAGGATTATAGTCATGTAGTAACGACCATATTTCACTATTTATCTCTTCCTATAGAACAAGATGATCTCAATATCATTGACGATAATGATCTAGTGACCACTAGATGCCACGACTTTGCTCTTTCTAGAGAGCAAGATTATCTCACTATCATTGATAATCTAACTCGTGAGAATAAGTTAATGAATGAGGTAAATGAAGAGATCACCATTTGAGCATCCAACTAATAGCAAGTCAATAAGTAAGACAATTGAGGAGACTATAAAGAATATTGCAATTTCTATCACACAATTTGACTCACCTAGTGATGCATCTCTTAATTAGTTGCAAGCAATGATGTTTCTAAAGTTGAAAAATAATGATAATTCTC